TATTAGAATGGAACTCCTCGACATCATAGCGTGTGATAGTTTAGCATGGATGCATGATAGTTTATAATGCCTGTATAATAGTTGTTAATGCTCGTGGTTGAATACTCGTTCAAGCCTTAATGTAAATTGCACGTGGTGGGCCGATTATCAAGTTTGCAATAATTCTGTGTTCTACTCAAAGGACCATTCCAAAAACTAGAGACTAAGATACAACTATTCTAAGATCTGTCCAAGTGCTTCGCTCAACGTTGTCGATGTTCTAATTCTAATGACTATGTGAAAAAAGTTGGGAGTGCGTTCGAATAAGAAAGGAGTACGAATGTGGGTGACGGATCTTGATTTGCTGGAATTAGGAATAGGGTTCAGCTGGGAAGTAGCAAAAACGAATTCTATTAGCGGAGATGTGGAAAGAGGAAACTAGGGGGCGGTTGCCTAAAACAGTCCTTGTGCTTTCGGTTTTTCCCAATCTTGGATGCCGTGGATCGAGGATTCTAATTTAACTTTACCCTGACTGTGCCAGGTAATAAGCTGACAGTAAAAGACTATGGTCAAGTAGGAGCTTTGTTATTGTTTAGATGAATAAAAGATACCCTCGTTCATGTTCTTAGGATCCTATGGGCTGACCGCCCAGATACACTTTGGAGCCCGGCAGCAGGTACTCCAGGGCAAACAGGTCGAGGCACGTACTGCCATTCATAAAAAATATGTTTGGATCATATCATAGCGTATAAAAGTTTAGAATGGTTGTATGATAGTTTGATAGGTTATTATGGTCATATGATCGTATGGAGTAATTCCTAAATAATGCTGTCCTTAGTACCCTTCTTTCCTTTCTTAAATTCGGAGAAAGCATTCGTTTCTCAACTCCTGGAATGCAACCTTCTTTCCCAAAGTTTACGATCTGCGGTATCAGGTCAGTACTGATCAACCCCAAGAATCATAAACGTGACATTTATGACTTCCTACCGGCCAAATCAGTTCAACCCGCACGTGATATTAACACTCGTTTCACTACCTGGAAAATTTCCCATTTCCTAAGAATCTCCTCACCACTAGCCTATCATTCCGAAAAAATCTAGGGATAAAAGTAGGTCCTTCGGGAGCTAGGGCAGAGTACCATTTCGGCTGTAACGCTGTGCGTGAGACTTTGCATTGAAACAACTCCAAAGTAAAACTCTCTACTAGCATTGTCTTTTGTGATGCGATAACAATCGGTTATGATTGTTTATCATAGTGCATGATTGTGTATGATTGCGTGTAATAATCCACGAAAAGCGTGTGACAGTTTATGATGGTTGTATATTAGATACTTCACGATTGTTGTTTAATAGCTTACAATACTTTGTAATGATTGTATGATAGTTCTGATAGCATATGATAGTTCCAATAGTTATGATAACTCTTGATAATTACGATGGCGCCTGATAGTTATGATAATCTACAATCATTTTCATTGGAAGTGCATACCTTGTGCCGTACAATCCGTTTCGTTAGTACATTGGTCTTCGAGTTGCGAAGGTTGTTTTG